AATGGGACCCAAAATCTTTTGGGTGAACTTCTCTGCTTCTAAAACTGCTCCTTGCTGGCAAGGGGCATAGAGTTGTCCCTGGCACAAGGGGGTCCCAAAGAGGAGGTTGACTGGAACTAAGCATGGGCTGCATCCAGGGGATGATGGGTTGATATGGGTTGGTACCCACTGTTTGCAACAACTGTAGGTGAATGGCCCATATTCTGGAAGACACAAATCTTAAAAGCAATTCTTCAGGGCCCAAATATATAGGGAAGTAAAAGTGCAAGAGCTCCATTAAAATCATTTACATTTGACCTGCAGGATTATCTGACCTTGTTACTTTCTCAAAAGTTTCCACTCTTTCCAAATTGCTTCTGGAGGTTCAGATGCTCTTGGGAAGTAACAACACTTTTCCAGGTAGAAGCTTTCTGTCCTGGGCCAGACACTGACTTTTACTCCAATTGTAACAAAAGACTTGGGAGGATGCTTAAGTAATGTTGAGGCCAAAAAGGTTACCTCCCTCTAAGAAAAATTGCACTGAAATTCTCTTCTCCAACCAAACTGAAGATGTTTCTGATTTACTTTCAGTAATTTGGGATATGGAATGACTACACTTTCAGGTCAAAACATCAAGATCTCACACACTTGCATAGTGCTTATATCTTTTACTGACCATTTGTTTTGATTATAGAAATTTGCTATAAAAGGATAAAGCAGGGACAAGATTTATAAAAAGTATGATAGGATAAAATAGCCTTGGAATTCAGATAATTCAGTTTTCATGCAATATCAATTCTAACTCTTAGCCAGACTCAGGAGTAGCCAGGTGGACAAATATTCCTTTTCAAAGGAACAGAATGGGGAAACTGAGACAGGAGGATCCCATCTTAGACAGAGGCTAAAATTATCCTCTCAGCTTTTTCCTATGCAGACCTCTCCCTGAATCACATTCTCTCTGAGTAGCTTGTGCCATTTCTCTCAGATGGTGGACTATTGACTATTGATTATTGTTGGATTATTATGATCCATCAGATAACTCAAAATCACTTAGGGTGCCATGTGATTTTACCTAAAAGAGCAAGTTTCACTTGCTTAGGGAAAAATTTTCCAGGATTTACTTCTCAAATTTGAAGTTGCCCTGGTGTAAAAGCCTACAGTTAGAGATTATTTCTATACACTTGCAAATTCTCAGCAAGCCAAGTTCGTTATTTAGGAACTCCATAACCCAAACAGGCTTTTTGACAAATTTACAAAATAATAGGGGTCCACAGGGACTCCAGAGAAGGGGCTTGCTGTGGGTTGTTCCCTTTGACTAGCCTTGAGGACTGCTCTGAATGGGCTGAACCGATCTGGATGAGGCTTTCACCTCATCCCCTCCTTTCCACACACATAGTAATCAATTACCAGCCAACAATCTTACATTTTTCATAAGTGATGACCGAATTGTCTTAGCTGTAACACAAACAATAAATTTCAGATGACCATCAATTGAATTTCTAGATCATATGCAATTATTGATAGAATGGTCTTACCAATTGCAGAGGCTGGGTGGCTTCTCTACCTTGACCCATCCCCCTTCCCTCTCTTCCCATGGTGGCTGGGGGTGGTGGTGAACAGGATGTGCAAAACCCAGATGATACTTCTAGGCTTTTTGGGTTGCCTCAGAGCCCAATGCCATTACTAGTAGGGCCCTGCTGTAGCTGCTGCCTTTCCTTCCTTAGGTGGGGGAGGAAGAATGAAACTCTCTTTTCCTAGTCTGATCTGGTATGAGAGAGTTTAACAGAAAAACCTGGGGCTGTTTGCAGTCCCTGAACTGAGATACCCTCTTGACTCAAGGGAAGGGAGTGACCTGGATTGTAAGGAGGTCTTTCAAAAGTCCTTAATGATCAGTCACAAAACCTCCAGAATCTAAGAATTTAGCTGTTCTAACTTTTTTTTTTTGGCTAGGCAATGAGGTTAAGTGACTTGCCCAGGGTCACATAGCTAGTAAGTGTTGGGTGTCTGAGGCTGGATTTGAACTCAGGTCTTCCTGACTCCAGTGCTGGTACTCTATCCACTACACCACCTAGCTGCCTCTGTTCTAACTTTTCACTGTAGCCATAGCCTGGTCAGAGCCCAGACTACAGGAAGAAGAATCTTAGTAATTTTTTTTTGAACTTTTACAATTTTTCTTGGTCCTCCGTATTGTTTGAGGCCAGACACAAAGCTTTCCTTTCCAAGGTCTTGGAGACCAAGCTTTTTCCAGTTCTAACCTAGCAGCAAGTCTCGGGGAAGTCCCACTGAGTCAGACTACAAGGATCCAGTGGCCATGAGACCGGGAGAGAAGAGGGATCTTACAGGCACCAGCATGGGGAAAGGGAGTCCTTCCTTGAAGGAGGATCCCAGATGTAGAGGGAAGGGAGTAAGTAAGCCTCAGGGAAACAAAGAGCACCTGAAGTTTTCCCAATTCTGTAGTATCCAAGGTAATTGAGAGAATTGAGCATATGCTTTCAGATAGGGCATCCATCCTCTGTGCTGCAGAAGGTGTGCCCAGGTCCATGGTCTAGAACTGAACTGCTAGACTGAGAGCCTGACAGCTTCTTAACTGTCTGATTGGAATACAGCCTGACAGTGTCAGGCCCCCAAAGCACCTCCACGCCTTTCTAGGTGCTTAGAGACCCCAACTGCAGAGTGAGAAAGGGATAGAGAGAGAGGGGTGGCTTCCATACTTTCTGGTCTTGGTTGGAGAAGGACTTGAGATTAGGCAGTTTCCCAGTCAGGAAACCATATGTTGTGTTCTAGGGGGTGCTGGGAACCCAAAAATTCAAGGGCAAAAGGTGCAGGTTCTGCCTTTGAAAGAATTCTACCACTCAAGCCTTCTTTCAGTCAGAGACAAAGTTTATTGTATCACCAATAGAAGCAGGTGGGATTTTAAGAACCTGTGCATTTGTAATACTTGTATTAACAAGTACACCAGATTTTAAGAATCTGAGCCGAGTAGTTATAACTTCATCACATGTTTATATCTTATACGTTTGACAAAAATAAAAGAGGAGGGGGGCAGCTAGGTGGCACAGTGGACAGAGTACCGGCCCTGGAGTCAGGAGGACCTGAGTTCAAATCTAGCCTCAGACACATAACACTTGCTAGCTGTGTGACTCTAGACAAGTCACTTAACCCCAATTGCCTACCCCCCCCAAAAAATAAAAAAATAAATAAAAGAGGAGAACTTAATGAACTTTACATATAAATATTTCTAAAAGAAGTAACTTAAAGCTATACAGGTGTTTTATTGTTCAGTCATTCAGTTGTGTCTGACTTTTTGTGCCCCCAGAGACCATAGCATGCCAGGCCCTTCTGTCTTCCACTATCTGTTGAAGTTCATCTTCACTGTTTCCATGACACTATCTATTCATCTTATCCTTTGTCGTCTCCCTTTCCTATATTTGCTTGTAATGTTTTTCTGTTTTTAACGTTTGTCTTCTGAAAGCTCAGATTAATGAGCTGTTTCCCATATATTTATCTTATTTAATGAGTTTTCATGTATTTGTCCTTTGAGGGAAAAAAATGCTAAATGAGTTTCCCTGTGTTTTGGCTAAACTGTCAAACAGAATATTTAGCTATAGTTCAGTTATAAGAGTATTGTACTTCATGTAAGGAAATAAGCAAAACTAATTAATATGTGTCAAAGAGAAAAATAGTACTATCGGCTTCACAGATTTAGATTTAAAAAGTTTAAATTAGTATAAAATTTTATACAATTTAATTACCCATGTCTGTCACATATACAAATGATGTCTATCTCTGTGTTCAGATTCATTCTTGTTCATTTTCTCCGTATGATAGCAATCTCAAAGTCCTAGCTAAGATTAATCAAGTTTTCCAAAATGGAGAGAAATAGGTAGGGTAAAAAGAGAGACATTAAAATGGGCAAAAAAAATCCACTTAATATTTCAAGAAAGACTTTAAAAATAAGACAAATGTTGAAATTAAAGCCGCCATTCCAGACTTGGCAGTTGCCCAACTTGTGACCTAATCTGACATTAACACTGGCAACCCAAAAGGTATAATCTTTGCATACGGAGGAAGTGGGATCAAGTCTTGAATAATTTCCCTTATATACTAATTTCAAATAGCCTTTTCTTTACCATCAGATTTTTATTATTGCAGTTTATTCAAAGATAAAATTTTAAATGCCTTCTCTTCATTCATATATTTTAGAGAGTAGTATTCTGCCTGAAGCCTCTGCTTACTTGAATTCTGTGATAGCAACAATCTTTTCTCTGTCCTGTTTGGGCTGTACATCTGGTGTGTCTCATTCTTGATGACTGACCCGCCCCTTTCCTTTTTCTGTTACATATATCCTAAAAAATAATATCTTTTATGCTGCCTTTCAACTTGCAGAGGAGAAAAATCAAAGTTATGTGTAAATAACATCAAAGTTAAGTTGGTAAACACAGTGACACCCTGACCATACTTTAAAGCCCAGAAATATTAAGTGATCTCTCCCAGAGAAAACAATTTCTAGGGCACTAAGGAAAATAATGTTGGCATTAGGAACTATAGCAAGATTTGTTATGTATTAGACAGGCAAGATGGTTTTTCCTCACTGATACTGCTATACATGATCTGTCTTCAGTTCCAGAATACAGAGATAGACCTGTCAGCAATGGGTGTGTGTGTGTGTGTGTTTATTTGAAAATCATAGCCTGTGGTAGCTAGAGTGAAGCTTTCATTCTGAAACCACATAATTAACCAATTACCTGTGAGGTTTGTATGTGTATGTTTTTTAAGGTTAGGAAGAGACACTTGGGGGAAGAGCCAAAAAAAAAATTAGCCTTTGGTACTATTTCCAATTATTTGTTTTTTTTTTAAAAAGTCATCCTTTTTACTTATTCAATTAAAAGATGTGCCATTTGATACCTTTATTTTAAATTCTAGTAAACCAGTTATGAGTTGTATACTATACCACCATACTATACTTTTCCTTTATAATTTTATGTTTTTCTTTTCTCACTATAAAAACAACAACAATATAGGTCCATGGAATTGTACGTCGATCAAGTTCCTTCAACACAGGGCGGATCGAGCATCTCTATAAGAACCCTCAGGCTCATATTGAAGGAAGTAAGCCATTTTCTTTCATGTATAATTTTTTTTTTACAGGACTTCTAAAGGATGACAAAAATAATTTAGCATTTAAAAACCTATTTTTTACTCCTGTCGAATCTCATTTATTTATGTACTACTGATCTGCATTGCTGATTATTTGCGTGCCTTAGGAAGAAAACATTTCTTACTTCTAAGTTGCCAGAGCGTCCCACTAGGATAAAGCTGAAATTGGATTCCTAAAGGTAATGGAATGTCTTCAGGGTAGAAGAGGCTCTGCTACCCCAGTAGGACAGTGTACTCTGATGTGGGAAACTGTGCTATCATGATTATCTGATGACCCATGTACTTTAAACTGTGGGGTCCCTTTTATACAAATAATGGAAAATGCTGGTTTTCTGCCTTCACTAAAGTCTGACTCCAGTGTGGCAACGTGATGTGGAGGTGATTCTGACTTCTCCAAGGTTATCCCCAAGAAGGACAAGCTCTTGGAGATCCTACTGAGCTGGGAAGGCTTTGGAATAAATACATCAGTAAGTTTGCAGGGCTCATGATTAGAAAGTTGGTCTCCAAGTTAAATTCTTCTGGCTGCATCACCTGGAGACCCTCTTCCAAGATATATAGAAGGTTTGTCATTTTTATCAGTTGGAAGTATACCCGTATTGGTGAAATTATCGGCATCTTTGGAAGATTATCATGATTAGCATTTTTTTGGTCTTCTTTTTTGCTTCTTTTCTTTTAAACTTATGCTAATATGTTTAGTTAAAAAGTTTAAATTCATTCATGAAGGCAGGAACATGTGATCAGCAAGTATATTAATTAAAATACATTTAGTAACCAAATATCCTAAGGTAAGAAGAATGTCGTTCATAGTCAATAAGTAATAGATAATACATTTCCACATCACGAGCTCCATATGTCCAAAGCTTTTTGGATATCTCAATGTGTTACTAACAATATCAGGCAGAGCAGCCAGGCCTCCTTGAATGGGTCATAGCCACATATTTTCCCCAACTTTTTAGAATTCAAACCTGTGCTTTAGGGTACGTTTCAAATGCTGTCTCTTTCAGGAAGACTTCCTTGATTTTTCTGGCCTGTAAGGATTGTATCTTTCAGATTTGACATAGCATTTTGTTTTATGTTTCACTAATGTACTTTTCACATAATGTCTGTTATAGCTGTCTATATTGGTATCTGTTCTCCATACTTGACTATACCTAAGTCCTCTGAAATCAAGGGCTGTGTTTTGATAACTAATAGTCCAAATTAGCTGTCTTTTCCAGCAACCAGTGCAATGCTCTGACACCATAGAAAACTAATACAATATTGTATTATCCATTTCAAATGTCAAATATTTACCTCGAAAATGTTTCTTATTCTTGAGCAAAGTGAATAGGATTACTATTTCTGAATCTAAACATAGCCCAGCGTTACATGCCTTATTGATAATCTGATGAATCAAATTGTGTTAGTGTTCAGTCCTTCCATAGAAACAGATTGCAATATTTCTGTACCTTTTTATCATATGGAATTCTTGTCCATGTATTTCCATAAATTTCCAATGGAGAAATTCCCAAAACTTTAGAAATCTTCCTTTGACATAGTGTATTGAGTGCTGGGTTTGGACTCAAGAAGACCTTCATTCAAATCCAGCCTCACTCATTAGCTGTGTGACTCTGAGGAAGTCATTTAATATCTGTCTGCCTCAGTTTCCTCAACTGTAAAATATAATAAATATATAAACTGTAATAATAATACCCAGGATTGTTGTGAGGATAAATTGAGATAATATTTATAAAGCATTTAGCTTTGTGCCTGGCATATAGTAAATTATTAATAAATGTTTCATTCCTCTCTCCCTCCCTTTCTTCCTCAATCCCTTCCTTCCTTCCTTATTTTTCATTTAATATCTCATGGGCATGGATTCTTATTCAAGCTATCGACATAATCTCTCTTTTTTTATAAATAACTAGTCCATTTTCTCATTCAGGCCTTTATCTTCTTGATTGTGTCTTTCAGGCTACTTCTTGACTTGCACAAGAAAAGACCAAGGTTTTGTGAAAATAATGTAGAAGTTATTAGTAACTGCATTGATGTGTTAAATTATAGGATCATAAATTGAGAGTTGGAAGGGACCTTAGATATGAGGACATTAAGGCCCAATGAGGTGAAGTGATTGACCTACTTCTATGTAGCTGGAATATGTCAGAGCTGGGATATGTATACACGTCCTCTGATTTCAAATCCAGCCACTTTTCTTCCATATTATTCTGTCTCATACCATTTAGGCCTTTATAAATATATGCAAGTAGGCATAGTATTAACTGAAGTAGACTGAAGAGCCTTTAGTAGAATACTTACTTTTTTGATTATCATCTTTGGAGTTAAATCTCTTATCCATCATGGAATAAAAACTAATTCTTGTGAAGATGGGAGGAACAGGGAAGAATATAATAACATTGATATTTATATAGTACTTAGAGATCCCCCAGATAGAAGCATATGAACAAGTACAAAAGTATTTTCATGACCAGTTTTATTGCTATGATTTTTTTCTTTAAAAGCATAGAAATTTAATAGGAATTTTTTTTGCTCCATAATATTCAGCTTTTACATAGCATATTTCTTTGAAATTTTAAATGAAAAGTATGATTTATGAATTACGTATTATCTGGCTCATTGCCTTACACATAATAATAGCTCAATAAATATTTGTTTAATTTAATTACAGTGCCTTGAACATAGTAGGCACTTAATAAGTGTTTATTGAATTAATTGCATGTGATATAATAAAATCATAATTTTAACAGGGTCTTTTGACATCTTCTGTGTAAGTTATTTTAAAGTGCCAATTAAATTTTACTGCTAGTAAGCCTATGAAAATAAATTTACTTATTCACATGAGGCTTCAAAATTTCTAAATGTGCTTATCTGTTTTAATTTTTCTTAATCACTCTTACTTGCTTTTTTTCTAATGGTATGTTCTTGAACCCCAAAGATATGAAATTGCATTATGGAGATCTCACGGACAGTACCTGCCTTGTGAAGATAATTAATGAAGTGAAACCTACAGAAATCTACAACTTAGGAGCCCAAAGTCATGTCAAAGTAAGCAGTTTTCCGCACTGAGTTTTATCGAGTAATGACGTAGACTAGGGCAGCTCTAGGTTCTGGAATGTCCCAGACTGAGCACTCAAGTTGTTTCTTCTCATTATTGAAGGCATTTGAAGATTAGAAAATTGTGATACTAATGTGGAATTACTGTTTAAAAATAGTTTTCTTATTAAGGTTTCTTATTCAGCTATGTAAGAAAATGTTACTAACCAATTCTAAGAAAACATTATTTCATATTACTTTGGTACAGTAAGCCTCAGGCTTTGATCTTTTGTTATTTTCTGTCATTTCAAACTTTATTGAAGATAAAATGTTTTGGTTACATCTTGGAAAATGTCATCTCAACCCATGTGCCATTTTAATATGTTTATTTTTAATAAACATTTAAAGTACTAGTTGAGAGAATAATATAGATTGAGAAAAGCTGCAAGCTTTTTTAAAAGCTTGAGTTCTGTTCTGTTGTGCTCAGTGACATTCACTGGGGTGAAAGTTACTTTATATTTTTCCTTTCCTTCAGCTTGATCAAAGTATTGTTGAATTCCTGCCCTCTTTCTCAAACTTTCCAGCAATTTCTCTATATCTTATCCATTTACTTTTAAGAAACTGAGTATATTAATCTCAGAGATCCTGAGAATGCTATGCACAGGGCTTTAGTAATTATTTTAGTTCCAGTTGTTGCCTTAGTAACACGTTGCTTACTGTTGGACTGAGTGAAGTAGGAGAGGGATTAAATTCCATCCTAGGGAATTATTTAGAATAGTTGATGGTTCTTCTAATGCACATATATCATATAAATAAAAGGAAATATATTTTAGTTGGGAAAACCACAATTACTATGCAAACTTGTTGGTATTACTTGCTGGTTTACAATATCATCTTCCCTAGGCAGGATGTAATTTATCTATCATCTCTGTTTCTGTTGCTGAAGGAAAAAAAAATGTACCATCACATGAATCCTTATGGTATGCCATGAGAAAGATAATGGTGAAATGATTCTTCTGAACAATCATTGGTCTAAAATAATTCCATAAAAATATTAGACTCATTTTGTTTCAGGATGTTAGTATGTACATACAAATTGATAAGGACATTTTGCTACTCACTACTGTCTAGGAGAAAATGATTTTCCCCTTAATCTGTACTAGGTCTGTTTCCATTCAGACTAAAATCTGAACTGTGAACAACATTGAAGCTTATTTTTATGATACTTTATTAACACCTACTTCCCCCCCTCCCCGTTTTTCAATAACTATCTTTCCCCAGAATTACTAAAGGCAATAAAAGGTTAAGACTCTACTCCCAAAGAATGACAGTGCCCACCTTCTGATTTGATTTCTCTAATACCCCAAATATTTCCATAGCCTGTTTCCCAAGGCCTAATAGCTTGAGTGGCATTGTAACATAGGATATAGAGACCCAACCTTAGAGTCAAGAAGGACCTGGGTTCAAGACCTGCCTCTGAGACATAGTCATACTATCAGTGTGATCATGACAGTAACCTCTTAGGCCCTATGTCTCTCCATAAGACTTTAAATTACATAGGATTTAGCAATCTGCATCAGTGGAGGAAGTTTCCATGGTGGGAGTTACCCTTACTAGTGAAAGCACATGTCCTTGTCCTTGTAAAAAAATGTTGCCTAGGGAAAATAAATGTGTATTTGTAGTGTTTTGTTTCTCTTTTTCTGTTTTAGCTCTCTAACCCTCCTGTGAATATGACTCTTTGGTCTCCATGAGAAGCTAAAGACTGGTCATGGAGGAAAGATATATGAAATTGTTTGGAGGAGATCTGTTGACAGAAGCCATTTTTTAACAGTCTAAAACTTAAACACTCTTGGATTTTTTTTCCTATTATCCTTGCTATAAAAGAATAATGCCATTTTGGAAAATTTGACTGAAGAGACAGATAAATTAGTCTTTTTAAATGTTTTGAATTCCAAATGATGAAACCCTCTACCAATGCAGGCCTTCCATGAAACTTGGAGAGGTGATTATGAGAAATACTTCTTTCTTACTGAATTTTGTAATATGGTGTTGCCTAAATATTTTAGTGGATTGTTAAAAATTTTTCATGAATTTATAAATGTTTTCCATAGCATGTGTGTTTCTTTTTATCTGGATTGTGATTATTATATAGTCAGGCATTTATTATGTGCTTTCTTTATTATATTCTTCATTGTTCAAGATAAAAATTATTTTTTCTTCTTCCTTACTAGAAAACACAAGTTTGTTTTAATTAGCAAAATACTATTCAGATGTTGTCATTAAAGATCACTGTCATACGTCCTGTTTTATCCAAGTAATGAAATCTATCATTTTATACTTTTTCATGAATTAACAAATGAAACTTTTTAGCTCACAGATGTCACTTCACTGACATGTATTAGAAAAAGTAAGAACTGTTGTCTCAGACTGATTGCAGGGAATTTTTGAAATTGAGAGATATTGGCTTCCTTCAGTCTTTACCTGGTCTTTGAACCATATAGTTTCTGCAGTGTTTACCTGAATTTTTTGGCTGTAACTTTCAGATTAACAGAGTACTAAGTAAATTTTTTAAAATTGTGAGCATCATTTATGTACAGTTATGTATTCGAATAGGAATTTAGGGATTTATTTGCAGAGTGTCATCTCCTAACATAAAGGAAGAAAATGCAGGTTATGTAGTTAAGAATATACTTAAGTTTCAACTTTTGTGTGTAAAGGGAGAGTAGTATTGATGAAAGATGAGTAGTCCTTCACCTACTCAAAGCCCTGATAGACTGGTAGAATCTGCCACATCTTGCATTCCTTCCATTAGCATATTTCTCCATAATGTAGGATAACAATTTTGTGACCTTGTAGGAGGTCTGGTTAAGTTAAAGCATTGACCTTTGTTTTATTGACTGACAAACTACAATGCTGATACTCTAAAGGGTAATCAAAAATTGGTTTATGAGATTTTTTGTTCTATTTAACTTTTCTCCAATATAATTAAAATATAAGGCTTTGCTCAAAATCTTTCATTGAAGAAGAGCCCGTAACCTCCCCTAGCAGCCCATTCTGCTCTTGCATGGCACTAATAGCTAGGAATTTTTTCCTTCCATAAAGCTGAAGTCAGTCTATCAATAAACATTTATTAATTGCCTGCTATGTGCAAGGCAAAGTACTAAGCTCTGGAAATTTGCTTCTTTGCAATATCCACCCAGTGTTTCTAGTTCTGCTTTCTGGGACCAAGCAAAACTCATTGGCTAATTAGATGCTGTCATTATTAATGTAACACAATATAGTAATCATGGCTCACATTTATGTGGTTCTTTATAATAACAATGTGCAGTACATTTGCAAATATTATCATCTTATTTTTATATGTATGAAGCAGAGATATAGAGAACCCACATTATTTGTCCAAGGTTATACAGTTAGCAAATAGCAATGCTGGGGAGCCTGAAGTTCAATGTTCTTTCCATATTTTGGCATGTAGTATATAGATGAATTGGGACCCTGAACTCCTTTTACCGTTCAATGATCAGGCTACCTCTTGAATATTCAGTTCTGGGAACCACATTTGAGGAGAGGGACATTTAGGAGCATGGTCAAGGGAGGGCTACCATCATGGTTGAGTATCTCAAAATTGTGTTACATAAGGGTTGTTTGAGGTAATTAATCTTATTTAGCCTATGGCCTATGGAGGAACATGATAGCAATCTTCAAATATTTGAAGGGTTGTCATGTAAAAGAGGAATCAGGCTTCTTCTGTTTGGACCCAGAGGGGTTCTACCTCAGATCAATGTGTGGGAGTGTTGAGGAGGTTTTAAATTAAGTTTGAAATTGGAATGAAGTAGCAAATTGTACTTTAACAAGCGCTGACAGAAATGATGACAAAGAAGTTTTCCATATTAGGTATCTTTCCTTTTGAGAACATCATGTTACGCTGTTTCATCAAGATTATGTGGGACCTAGCTAGTTCAGAAAAGTTGTTTTGGTTAGTAGATACTTAGACTGGGGGTTAAAAGGCCAACTTCATGACCACAACTTTCTGCCTGTGGAAGAACTGATGTTTTCAAATCTTGTCAGTGATTTTTTGCTTGTCCTTGATTATCTCCCTGTAGTTACAGTAGGAAACGAGAACTTTGGCTACTGAGAAACAGGACAGGAAATCACAGTAAATTATGACATTATTGAAATTCTTTAATGTTTACAAATGGGTAGATTAGAGCTATGATTTTGTCAGCATGTTGAATTCCAAATGAGGAAGCCCTCTACCAATATAGGCCTTCCATGAAACTTGGAGAGGTGATGAAAGTAACAATAGCTACCATTGATACACAACATCACATAATTTGAGCTTCACAACAGTCATGTGAGGTAGGTATGTCAAGTATCAGAGAGTTAAAATGTTCTGCTAGCTATCAGCCTGCCAGTAAATATTGGAGACTAGATTTGAACTCAGATCTTGATGCCGAATTGAACCCTATACACTGCACCACATGGAGTATCAGTGGGGACAGGGAACTTGGATACTGACTTTTAAGTCAACAAGAATTTATCAAGCGCCTGCTGTTGGTGGTGGAGATAAAAGTGATGGTCTATTGTTCCAGGGGTTTTTCATTTGTCATTAAGCCAATTCTCCTCTCAGTATGCTTAGTTCCCTATTCATTTCCTATTCATTTACCTATTTCCTCTTAAGTATGTTAGGAGGCTAGGGTAGATATCCTCTTAATAGAAATGATTATATTGGTAGATACCAAGTTTTAAGAGCAAAAACCGAAAGCCTGTCCTGCAGCAGAGCGTAGTGTTCACAATAAGCTCGATCCAAACAAATCATTCTTTTTTCAGCATGCTTGGAAAACAAAGTTCTAATCTTAGCACATTCTGAAGTTTGGTCCATTTGAATCAGTGACGTCTAGAATCTTATTGGATGTTGTTTATTTTGGCTTCTCTTTATGCAGAATAAAGTCTTCTATCACTCTCACTTCCAGTTAATTTTATGTGGGCTATGCTGAAAGTAAGGAAAATAA